GAGAGAGAGAAAGAGTGAGGGAAAAGGGAACTTCTGAGAGATTTTGCCTTCTAGCAGCAGCGCCGCAGACGCCTTTTCGCGTGCGTACCTTGAAACGGGGCAAAAGAGAGCAAGAAGAAGCTGAAGGAGGCGTGGGAGCGGTTCCCAAAGGGTTGTGTTACAAGTGCCGAAGAAAGCTCAAAGGCGAGATCGACTCAAACTCACTTCAAGTGGGCGTAAAAGCCTGGCCTTTACGACTAGCTGAACGCGGGGTACACCAAATAGAAGGAAGAGAACGTGGGCGCTGAGGCTTTTCTTCAAGCTCAAGAGGTAAATATTGGTTCTTCTTTCATCTTCAGCTACCTATCTAAGGCCCCGGATACTTACCCTTCATTTAGCTCATACTTCTCTTGGCCTACATCAAGGCTTGGCATGAGCATCTCATAACAGCAAGCTCTTCACCAGCTTTTCTTCTTATTCTTTCACACAAAGGCCCATCTCCACATACTGTCACATAGAGCCCAGCATGATGAGTACAGGCGCAGGCAGGCAAGGCATGCTCAACTTCAGAGTCACGCACCCAGACGTCTTCACACACGGCATCTGCGGCCGCAAGGACTGCTACCGCGGCTCACCGGCGGCAGCAGACTGCGAGTTCCACGGCAACGCCGTTCGGGATATCATCAGATCGCGGCGGGACCAGAGACGGGCCCGCTTACAACAACGGTGCCGAACCCACGGCGGCAGCATCGACATGACACCAACGGCAGCGACGGCGTCCGCGTCGACGACGAGCCGAAGCGTCACGCCTCTGAAACGGCAGCCGAGTCAAAGCAGCAGCATCAATAGCAAGCCGGATAGCCCGCTGTCCTTCACCTCGTCTGACTTCTCGGCCGACTTTTCACCGTGCGTCTCGCCGCTGATGGAGGATCTTATGCTGGAGGTCACGGATGCGATTGAGAGCAGCGGCCACACGCCGGAGCGTCTTGCCATGTCGCCGAGGCGGACGACGTCGGCGTTCAACATGGACGACATATTCAGAATGATTGATGAGGCTCAGAGGGAGTACGAGAGCCTGAGCGACGCGCCTGTCACACCAGCGAAATCAAGAAACGAAATACCCCGCGAGCCACGCTGGAGCTGGGAGAGCCTGCTAGGCCCATCATGACGGCCCCAACGACTTGGGCAGCATGAATAGACAAACGCAAGATGGTCGAGCCACTTGGCCTGAGCATTTCGTGGTCACAAAGAAGGGCCGCCTTTCCTGCTTCGAAGCAAGATGACAGCACACAAGGGATGCCAGAGTGTACAACTTTGCACCTCTAACAGTTGAAAACGGGATGAATGAGTATCACAAAGAAAGCGTCAGCAAAACCAACCGGGGGCGTCTGAAGAGTTGAGCGTTGTGTCAGCAGGGAATAAGCTTCAATTTGGATTGTACATATTAAAGGGTCTGCACCTTTTTCCTGGTCCATGGTCCCGACACCAACCCGATTAGCCTTTTATTGTAATCGAACACCGGCCTGCCGCTTCGCCGATGATGAGTTCATGTTTGCGTTCTCGCTCGCGTCAAACGTCGGCTTGGCCTCGCGTCGCTTCTCCTCCTCAATCTTCTTCAGCAACTTGTCGGTCTTGCCCTTGCCGCTGCCCTTGCCATGGAACTGGTGACTCATGTGCTTGAAGGCTTCCTTCTGGTCGAGAGATCTGCCGTGATCGTCCACGTACTTGAGCTCCACGTTGGGCTTGTAGTGCTTCTTGAAAAGCTCGTCGACGACGCGTGATTGCTGCAGTTCGCGATGGGCGTTTGCTTGTCGGGCGCGCTCCTCTCTGTCTCTTACAGACATGGAATCCAGTCGGCCGCTGTTTCTGTCGCGCTCTCGCTGGTACTTGGCTCGGTCTTCTTGCTCCCTTTCGAGACGTCTCTTCTCTGCCAAAAATTCGGCCTTTTGGCGTTCGCTCATGTTTCGCTCCGCACCATGAGAGTCTTTGATAAGACCACGCTCTCTGAGTAGTGCTAGAGCTGAACCCATACCGGTGTTGAGTGACTTCTCTTCGTCCACTCCCGTCGCTGCAATTTCTGCAGATGTCTCTCGAGCTCTATCCTCTGGAACATTATAAGCATCGTCGCCCATCGGGTGATCTTCATCGTCGTCGTCGGCGGCGCCCATGGCCGTTACAGGCTCTACTGATGTGGACTTTGGCCTCTTTGTTTTGCGCTCCTCCTCCTCTTCTGGCTTTTTGAGATTGGACACAAACTCGGAAATCTCATCAATGACTACACCGCCATTGAGAGCCTCATTGTCCGGCTCATCTGCTTGTTCTTTGAGTTGCCGAGCAATGTCCTCGGGCCGGTTCTTCTTCCGCCTCTTTAATGCGCTCTTTCGCTGGATGGCGAGGGAAGCCTGCAAATCGTCGTCATCAACAAAATTGTCGTCCTCCACTTTGCGTTTCTTCTTGCTGATAGCCGCGCCGGAGTCTACGTCCATCTCATTGTCGTCTGCCGGTGTCGCATCAAGGGGGAAGATGTCGTCCTCATCAATAGGCTTCTGCCTTGTTGACTTGTTCTTCTTCTTCTTCGGCTTCTTCACCTTGATTTCTGAGATATCAAGGTAATCTGAAGTAGGCGCGTCTTCTGGGTGGAGGGTTAGCGACGTCCCATTATAATTATGTTTAGTTAGGCGATACTTACGCATGACATCGAGATCAACGTTTTGCAACTTTTTGACCTTTTCTGGTGCTCCAAGAATATCTCCCAACTCCGCAATAGCGCCAGACCCATCAAGAGTGAACTTCTTGCCCTTCTTGCCGTAAATTTCTTCGTCGTACTGAGCCAAGATGCCGCGTTCACCATCTTCATCTGCCGCAGCAAAGACGTCGTATGCTGGTTTTTTCTTCTTCAAATCTAGCCTCTCTTGCAATTGCTCTCTGGCTCTGACGTCCATGTTCTCAAGCTCATCGCCCTCTTCTTCATTCTGATCGATGGTCGAGTCCTTCAGGGTCAAGATCTGTTCGTCGCCATCGAGGAAGTTGTCCAACTCGTGCGCGACCTTTACTCCAGCAAGGTCTTTCGAAGTGTACTCGACTGCCGCGAGCGCAGCTGCTTCAGCTGCCGCCTGTTCCTCCTCCAACTTCCTGGCCTTCTCGATGGCCTTTTGTCGCTTCTTCTGCGCTTTCAGCCATGCCTTCGCGTCCACGTCGTTTTCGTCAGCTTCGCCGAGACCCTTGCCCTCCAAGATTGCATTGCGCTGCGCAGCTTCTCTTTCCCTTTTCGCTGCGGCAGCTCGCTCTTCTCGTTTGCGCTTGGCGGCTTCGGCGTCGCGAACCTTTTGGTAGTTGTCGTATGCTTGCGCCTGACGTCCTTCGAGTGTCGCAGACGCATCCTCTTCTTCCGATGCAGAATCGTCGTGCTGTGTTTCGGCTGGGGCGGCACCAGGGACCGGCAATGGCTTCATGCCCAGCGAAACGCGAATGCGATTCGTCTCTTCGATGGTTGCGGCGTCCATCTTGGCTGTAACTTGCGTTCTAATTATTTCTGGCGATAGGTGCGTCTTTCGTTGTGCAGGGTTGAAAAGAGATGCGGTTTCGCCAGTTGACGCGATGGTGAGTCGAGGGCTCCGGACGATGAAAGTAAGGCACTATGGAGCATCGACGGAAAGCTGGAGTTGCAAGTGCGATTCCGATAAGGATACCTTACCAGGCGTCAAACTTCGTGGCCAACCGGAAAAAGCATGCGGCTCACCAACACTTTGCCAGGCACCCAGGCTCATCAGGGTCGTTCTCCACCGCCAACGACCTGTGCTTAGCTAATCGTCCGAGGTGGGTCTCTGATTTTTACTACATAGCGCAGCCTTGCGAAAATTCTCTTCTCTTTTTCTTTTCCTTCTTCAACAAACACGGGCCTGTGCCCAGAATTCCTCTGCTCCTACGGGAGTCAGGGTCGAGTTCTGCGGCAGCTCGATCATCCAAGGAGCCATCAAATTTCATGATGTCAATCTTCCGATCGACAGGTTCAAGAGTGACCGGTCTTGAGGCAGCCATGTTCGCCGTCAAAAGCTTGAGCGTGGTGTAATCTTGTACTGGGGACGTCATATTCCTACCCCTTTTGCCGAGATCGTCGATCTATGAGGTTAGGGAAAACCATGACTTGCCCACAAACTATGACCCTGGAGAACTTCTATTCTTCTCCGCGTAAATCTTTCTGAAGAAATTTCACTATCGTGAGCGCGTAAAGTGGTAGTTTCCATCCGGATTTTGCCCAGCGACTGCGGCGCGTCAGGCGCAAGGCAGCTTCAAGTGAGAAGAAAAAATCGCACTTACCTAAAACTGGCACCCATCTCGCAAAACAGTCTTCGCGGACCATCTAAAACCGAGTTGCGGGCATCTCGTTTGCGCCTAGACCAGAGACCACTTTTGAAGATGCTGTTACCAGGTTTTTACATGAAATATCCCATGTCTAGTACCATTCTTACCTAAGAAGACATGTGAAAGACCTGCAGATAAAAATCGATAGACGAGCCATGATTTTCTCCACGGGCTCTTTCTCGGCGCATCCCGTACCTGGCGCTGTCATCTCAAGCTTGCGCCGTTCGACGATGCATACTGCTCCTGCATCTTGGTGCCCACCCTCTCGCTTCTCAAGGCCATCAGAGTTTGTCGGTTACGGCGCAGAGTCCCCGTTCTGGATATCCCGGCCGGCCGAGTCAACGGGGCCAAGTTGGCCAACATGTGGGATGGCCGGTGCGGGGTGCAGCCGTGTGATCTGGGGTAGCTATTGGCATGGCTAACTCTCTCTCGTCCGGCCCGATATCAACAGGAGACTCCGCCGTAACATCGTTACACTTCATACAGCTTGGTCGACGCTACTGCACGGCAGCAAATGAGCAAGCTGTAAAAAGGACATTTCGGCCTCGAGGGAGAAGGAGTTTCCGCATTGATGATGTCGACTTGATGGCATCACACCACCAGCATGCGCAGGTGGGTGAGGAAGCATCGCATGCCCAGCTTCTAGATGCCGATGAGACATGAGGCTGGCTCGGATGGGACGACAACAACAACGACAGCTGTTACTTGCCTCTCCTTTCAAATGACCCAGAGCATCGCTCTCTTTCTTAGGTTCGTCCAACTTCGACAAGTGTATGCTTCAGACAAAGGCCGCTTGCACTCCAATACGCATTAAGCATCAGCAGTGCAAGCCATCCAATGTCTCAGTCGTTCGATCAAGCCTAAGCCTCGGGAAGGGGTGTGCGGGGAACGCTTAAACCTCTTCCTCCACTACCCCTCGACCCCAACCCCCATGAGTCCTCCTGAAGTTCATCATAGCCACCAATAACACCCCGCAGTTCCTGGCGGAAAGGACCGAACGACAAGGTTGTCTGATCTCCTTGGCCTTGCCGACGACATCATTCAACCCCTGTCTGCTATCCTTGCTGCCTACCTGAGGTGACCTTCTGATTATACAGCCAACCTGGTACACGTGCGACCTGTACGGCATCTCTTGAGCTGGGATTATTGTTACCCTTGTCTCACGGCACTGCTGGAGCACTCGTAGCTGCCGGCACTGATACTATTTACAAAAGAACCTGAAGAAGTTGAGAGTGAGGACGACGAGAGGTGGGATCGTAGGCTTGTACTCCAGAACCGAGTGGGCTTGGAGGAGCTATTGAACGGCTCGACCACAATTCTCTCGCCGTTGTGCCGACATAAGTCCAGCTTCTAGCTCGTGACGAGGGGCATCTTGGATGTTCGTGAGACTAATGCAGGCCAGCTTGACAGCTCGGTGATACTCCAGCATTCGGGCCTTCGAGGCACATCAAAGCAACCCACCCTGAACACACCCCCTGCCCTACCGCTTCTTCGTGCCTTGCGAAGAAGTATATAATCATCATGGTTCACCTACAACATGTCATGTCAGGAAGCCTGGCACACAACACCACAGAGCGCCTTACACAGCCCATCATGAAGCTTCTCACTTCCGCTCTTCTGCTTGGGTCACTCGCCACCCAGACGATCTTTGGCTATCCTGGCGGCCAATTTGTCAAGAGAGACGTCGACTCCTTCATTGCCACTGAGACTCCCATAGCCCTTGCGCAGCTACTCTGTAACATTGGCCCTAACGGTTGCCATGCTCAAGGCGTCAGCTCTGGCATCGTTATTGCTTCTCCGGACAAGACCGACCCACCGTGTAAGTTCCCTAACTTCTGTTGGTGACACGCTTCAAGCAGAGAAACGAGCTGAGGAACAAATTCACCGACTTGCTCTCCGAGGGGCAAACGTGGCACCTTGATCCAGGGACTTAAGCTAACGTACCACAGATTTCTACACGTGGACTAGAGGTAAACGCAATCTACGAGTGGCTTCACTGCAGAAACTGACAGATCTGTAGATGCTGGTCTCGTCTTCAAGGCTGTGGTAGACATCTTCACCAACAGCTACGATGCCAACCTTCAGACCAACATCCAGAACTACATCGCCTCTCAAGCTCGTCTCCAGGGAGTCTCAAACCCTTCCGGAGGCTTGGGCGATGGTGCCGGTCTTGGCGAGCCCAAGTTCGAAGTGAACTTGGCTCCCTTCACGGGTGCTTGGGGTATATTGGACACTTGCCACTAGATTTGAGGCGCATACTAATATTGACTTAGGACGACCTCAGAGAGATGGTCCGGCGCTGCGAGCCATTGCCATTATCGGTTACGCGAAATGGCTCGTATCAAACGGCTACTCATCTACTGCCTCATCCGTCTTGTGGCCGGTGATCCGCAATGACTTGGCATATGTTGCCCAGTACTGGTAAGAAGACCAGATTACAATTGGCTATGAGCATCTCTGACCTGTCTCTAGGGACCAGACTGGTTTTGATCTGTGGGAGGAGGTCCAGGGAAGTTCTTTCTTCACCGTCGCCAGCCAACATCGCGGTAAGTTCACCTCAGTACATGATGAACAGTCATCAAGACTAAGTCAAGAAACCAGCTCTTGTTGAGGGCAGCGCGTTGGCCCGGTCTCTTGGACAGTCGTGTGCAGCTTGTGATGCCGTAGCTCCCCAAGTCCTGTGTTTCTTGGGCAGATTCTGGAACCCTTCGGGCAACTTCATGGTTGCAAACAGTGAGTTCATGAGCACAATCTCATCTGCCTGTCAGTGAACCACGCAGTCTAACACCCTCAAGTCAACGGAAACGGAAGATCTGGCCGTGATGCCAACGTTATCCTCGCCTCCATTCACAACTTCGACCCGGCCGCAGCCTGCGACGCGGCGACTTTCCAGCCCTGCAGTGACAAAGCCCTTGCCAGCCACAAGGTCGTCGTCGATTCTTTCCGTTCCATCTACGCGATCAACAACGGTATCGCCCAATCCGCCGCTGTTGCAGTCGGCAGATACCCTGAAGACAGCTACTACAACGGCAACCCGTGGTACCTCAACACCCTGGCCGCCGCCGAGCAGCTCTACGACGCCCTCTATGTTTGGAAGCAGCAAGGATCCATCACAGTCACCCAGACGTCATTGGCCTTCTTCCGTGACCGTGACGGCTCCGTTGCACCCGGGACGTACGCCTCCGGCTCGTCAACCTACAACTCGCTCATCAGCACCGTCAGCGCCTACGCGGACGGTTTTATGAACGTGGTCGCGACCTACGCCCAGTCCAACGGCTCGCTCGCCGAGCAGTTCTCTCGCAGCAACGGCCAGCCCCTTTCGGCGGACGATCTCACCTGGTCTTACGCAGCCTTCCTCACAGCCGCCCAGCGCCGCGCCAACGTCATCCCCAAGGGCTGGGTCGGCTCTGCCACCTCGGTCCCGGGTACGTGCCAGGCTACCTCCGTCGCCGGCTCATACTCCAGCGCCACGGCGACTTCGTTCCCTGCCAACCAGACGCCTGGTGGAGGAGGCGGATCACCCACGGGAACCACTACGGGGGCTACGCCGACCGCGACGGGATGCCCTATTGCCAGCTCCGTGCTCGTCACTTTCAACGCCCGGGTCGTGACGCAGTTCGGCCAGACGATCAAGTTGGTGGGTAGCACCGCCGCCCTCGGAAGCTGGAACCCGAGCAATGCCATCGCATTGAGTGCTTCGGGATACACTTCGGCCAACCCCATCTGGACTGTGACCATTGAGTTGCCGGCTGGTACGACGTTCCAGTACAAGTACATCAACGTTGCCAGCGGTGGTGCCGTCACTTGGGAGAGTGACCCCAACCGCAGCTACACAGTCCCGTCAACCTGCTCGTCGACGGCTACGAAGTCTGACACCTGGCAAGGATAGTTATATTGGAGTGCCTCGGTGGTTCACCGTCTTTGCAAAGAGCTGCATGGAGCTGTTTCAAAACACCCTAGGGAAAGGGGTGAAGTACATACGCTTATCTTCTTGCACATATTATTCTTGAATCTTTAGTTCAATATCTCATGAAGTCCTGCTGGTCTTCTTAGGACTTCTCAGAAGCACGCTTCTCCAACTCCGTGATGATGGTGTCAACAGTCCACTCCAGAGTAGTCTCCATATCGATATCCAGTCCCTTGCCAAGCTGTGCCTTGATGTTCTTCTCATTTAATACCTCCGCATTCAGCTTTCCTTCGACGTCTCCATTCTCAAAAAGCCACGAATGAGACTCGACATAGTTCGGCCAGACAATCTTGTCCACGTACCCAGGAGGGTCTTGCCAGAATCCCTCCAACGTGACATATCCATCGCGGGCCTCGCGCCGCTGCGTCGCCTTAGCGCGACTTACGAGGAGGAATAGCTTGATGTCGATAAGTTCCATGGTCGTCTCCATCTCCTTACAGTAGAGGAGAAAGCCGTCAAAGAGACAGACATTGAGCTTGCCCTCGGTAAAGATGGCGTGTCCTGGCTTGCCGGGCTGGAGCCAGGCTTCGACTTTGGCTTTCATGGCGGCGATCTTCTCATCCGAGACTGGGCACTTGCCGACGGAGTTTTGGTCTTCTTTCGAGTCCACAAAGGGCTGATATTGTGTGAGAAGCGTGAGGGGGATTATGTTATTCGCATGGAACTTACAGGAAAAGTACCAAGCGTGAGGGGGATTATGTTATTCGCATGGAACTTACAGGAAAAGTACCATTCTCACGAATGTGAACTAAAGCCTTTTCCATATCGGGGATAGATATGGATTCAGGGCAGTCCCAGTCCAAGAGACCATTCTTACTTGGTAATCTATTCGGAATGTAAGCAAGATTTAGCCAATTCTATAATTCGCAGGGACTCACTCGGATTCGGCTTTGTAGAAATCGTCCTCGTGAAGAATAAAGGTACTGGGGAAAATATCTCTCAACAGACGGGCGAGTGTCGTCTTCCCGCTGGAAGAGCAGCCGCTCAACCCGACGATCACAGCATTCTTCCCCGCCATCTTGAGGCTTTATCGTGATGCGCCTCACGGAAGATATGTCTGAGTCGTGAGCGAGTGTGTCTCTCAGGATAGCAACCTTCTTATGTGTTGCTTTCGGACTTGATGGGGAATACTGACAGAGAGAAAGGTAGGTAAGACTCGTTTATGAGTCGTTACCCGTCAGATAGACCGCCAGTTGCTAAATTCTGAATAAGGTAAGCGGGAGATAGTCGCAGCCAAGTCTTGATCTGAGATTCCGGCTTGCAGTAGCTTACTATTAGATTGTTCGATCCCCATGAAAGAATAAACCCCACCACTACCCCTCCCTGGTAGGAAGGTCAGATAGTGGGGGCAGCCTCCGCTGAAGGGTTACCGGGAGCGGCGGTGCAGGGGGGTTCAGCCAAATTCAGACAGGCCAAGGCAGGCAAGGCAAGCCCCTGGCGTGCGTCATCCGGCCTGGCGAAGCGCTGTCCGAAAGACCTGGACTTGGGAACTCGACGTCTCCAATTCCATCTATCCAATCCTATCCCACAGAAAAGTTGCAGTTCATCCCATCTCACCCGCCCAACTCCTCCAGACAGTCGCGGCGTTTCTCAGCAATTCTCCCCTTAAACCTTTCCAGCCGACACCGAAACACCTCTACAACCCCGAACAAGCCGCGCAACAATGGCGGACACAGGCGGCCAGCAGACAGCCGTGGTGCTGTCAACCTCCATCGTCGCCCTCATGACGGGCTTCCTCCTCGGCGTCTACTCGATCCGCGGCTACCTCATCTCCCCCGAATTACGTTCCGAAGCCCGCGCCAACTTCGACGACCCTGTCGAGAGCGAGGAGTCCGACATCGACGAGGACGATACCGTTCTCGATCACGCGCCCAACTGGGCCAATGGCCTAGATGCCGACCGCCGTGACGGTCTGCGCCAGCGTAAGGGCAACGCATCCGGGAAGCCTGCCTCTTCCAAGAAGCCCAACCCGGCGGGTACACCGCTGGTCGATAACAATGAGGAGTGCAAGCTTGTCCTCGTCGTTCGGACGGACCTGGGCATGACCAAGGGTATGTTCTTGCTCCTCTCTCACCAAACCCCTGAAAGGCGATCCAAAGCTTACCAATCTCTCTCCTTTGTAGGCAAGATGGCAGCGCAAGCCTCGCACGCGACTCTGGCATGCTACAAGTCCCTTTCCAAGATCGCAGCGAAAGACCCCTCATCCTCCGCCGCCAAGATCCTTTCCCGCTGGGAGAATCTCGGCCAGGCCAAGATTGCCGTTCAGATCAAGAACCAGGACGAGATGCTCGAGCTCATGGGCAAGGCCCGCAGCCTCGGTGTCACTTCCGAGGTGATTGCCGACGCCGGCCGGACGCAGATCGAGGCCGGCAGTCTGACTGTCCTGGGCGTTGGCCCTGCGCCCAGAAGCTTGGTTGACCAGATCACGGGACACTTGAAGCTTCTGTAAAGGCAATCTGGGATATCCAAATGGTTCATTACAAAAGAAAAGTTATGGGAATTTAGACTCTGGGAACATACACGAATGAAGCGTAATGGCGTACGGTACATAAAAGTAGGCGAAGGCCTGATATATTTCGCTTTACATGCGGACATGAGATATGTCCTAGAATGATCAAAAGTTACGCTGCTTACGCCAATGTTGATGATGTTGGTTCTTGTGACTTGTCTCAAATGCCTACCTAGTTTGTTCCTGCTAAGCAGCTTAACGCTGTAGGAAAATAGTGGTACTGGGACCGGTGGGAAGAAAACACCCAGAAGTACATATAGCAGCAGGAGATCTCTTATGGAGAAGACAGAGAGTGTAGAGAATATCTTCCAGATTCGGGTATTCATGGTCACTAAGGGAGCAAATGCCTAAAACGCCTTTTTACATGCAACCAACTCCCCCCGTTCCAACTTTTGTCAACACTTTTTACAGCCACAAATTCCCACCTCCTCACCATCCGCATTATTCCTTGCGTGCGAATCTCGACAGCACCGGGCCGAGATCAGCCTCCGCCTCCTGGTTCTTGCTCTCCCTCTCCTTCTTGCGCTTCTCCCAGATCTCATCAACCTTCATTCTCTTCTCGTCAATGATGTTCTTCTTTCTCTGCTTGCGCAGGTACTTCTTCAACGCGCCGTTCTTGCCCCTGGCGCGGTTCTTGATCTCCTCCTCGACGGATAGCGGCTTCGCGTCCAGATCCTTCTCAGCCTTGCGCTGCGCGGCCGAGCGCAGGTCTATGTTACCGATGAAGTTGGGGTCCAGGGCAATCATCTCGGGCTTGAGCTTGTTCAGCAAGCCCTTGACCTCGGCCTCCTGTCTCTGCTTCTTGGTCTCGAAGGGGTTGACCTCGAGGGCGTCGAAGTTGGCCTCGCCGGCGCCGGGGATGAGGTGCGAGGAGAAGCCCTCGTCGTGGCCCGTGCCGAGGACGTCCTCGAAGGGGCACCACCGCACGCGCTCGACACGTCTGCCTTCGCCTCCGAGAGCCATGTACGGGCTCTGGATCTTCTCCTGGACGGGTATGTTCTTGTTGAACAGGTCCTTCCAGACGCTGGTCTGCGTGCCCCAACCGACGGCCGTGAGACCCGAGTCGGAGATGGCTACTGAGGATGCGGGTGTTCTCGTGAAGTACTGGTTCACTTCTCTGAACATTCTGATGTCCCAGACGGCCATCTTGCAGTCTTGGCCGGTGGAGACCATGTATCGGCCCTCACGGTCAACGGCTAGTGATCTTACCGGCCCTCTGTGCGCCAGGAGCTTGACGAGAGGGTCGGTCTGGTTGGGTGACCAGAGAGTGACTGTGCCGTTCTGGTGTCCTACGTGGAATACGGCGTTCCAGGGGTTTTGGGTCATGGCTGTTGGGGGGCCGAGCTTGGTGGGGATCTCGGAGACGATGTCGCCTGTCGAAACGTCCTGGTATTTGAGGAAACCTGTTGACGCCTGTGGCCGTTGTCAGTGAAGCTCAGAAGAGCTTGTGTTCGTGGTTTGAAAACTTACCACTGTGCCGAGGAGGAAATGGTAGGGGAGGAACTCCATGTGTGTGACCTCCATGTGTTTCCTCAAGCAGTGGATCTCAACACCGTTGTGGTCGTAGATGTAGACATACTTCTTCTGCGCAACAGCAAAGAACTGGTTGTTGTGCAGCCACCGCACATCCCGAATCGTCTCGTTGAGTTGAATCTCGCACCCCAGCTTGCCTTCCCTCCAGTCAAACGTCGCAAGGTGACCTTTCCGTCCCGCGAGCAGCAGTTCCCTGCCGTTGCGGGTGTATTCGCCGACGTACGGCCCCAGTTCCTCCAGCTTCAGCTCGAACCGCTTCTGCGCCGTCGTGACGGAAACGCCCTCGGTGATCTCATCCTGGCGGACCTTGTACGTCCTCTCGAGCTCCGTCTCGGGCTCGAGGAAGCCGCTGCTGTTCTCGAGAAGGATCTCGGCGTCCTTGGCCTTGATGGTGGCGTCGCGGTACTTGTTCTCGAGCTTGGAAAGGTTGGTGCGCAGCTTCTTGTCCTTGATCGATTTCATGTTGACGCTCTTGCCGCGACCGTACGACTTGTTCGCCTCCTTGAGCCTCCGGATCTTCTCCCGCTCCTCGCGCGGGACGAGGTCGGTGCGGCGCTTCACCTGCACGGCGCCATTGGAGTGCGGGTTGTCCCTCCGCGATATCGTCTGCGTCTCGGGTGTGTCGATGTCCATGGTGGGCAAACGGGTGGTGAGGTTCGTTTTCGTGGCTGGCAGGTCTGGAGTTCTCGTGGAGTGCCGTCGCGAAGGGTCCCTGCAAGGAAAAAAAAAGTTCACTGAGATGCTCGACAGCAGTGACTCGGCCCAAAATTTCTTCGGCTCTTCTGTTATCGGGATCCTGGTTCGAGCGTATCTTATCACCCCAGCCAGTGCCCCGCAGAAACTTTCGGCGAGCCAATGGACGTCTCCAGATAACGCACGCACGAATTCAAAAAAATAGTCGGTCAAAGTACCCCTCCATCCGCATCACAGGCGCAAATCCGTCCAAAAAGTCCAAAAATTGCGCCGTACTCGACCAAGTCTCGATTTCGACTGTGAACAGTAGGAAAAGAAGCCTCTGTCCAACCTGGCTTCGCTACCCTTTCGTTTCAAGGCTGGGGGAGACGGGAAACCGCCCGCCGCGACCATGAGTCACTCTCACCGACCGACGACCAAAGTCACCCACAAGCCCTTCAAGTCCAAGCATGCGTCCAAGGGTGCGCTGAGGGACGCCGCCAAAGGTTCGCCTCCAGATTCTCCCTCACCCAAAATCCGAGGGCAGATTTTTTCGTGGAACTTACAAACTAATATTCGGTTTGAATAGGCAGACTCCCGGGTGACGAAAAGGGGCAGCGAAAGACACCCCACCAGCAAGTTCTGTCCAAATTCGACCGACGAAACCAGGCCAAGCAGCGCCAGATCGCCAAGCGCAAGGAGAGATTGGAGGAAGCCAGCTTGTTTGTCGGACGGGATGGAGCACCGAGAATTGTTGCGGTCGTTCCCCTATGCCAGGATGGTGACGCCGCGGTCGCTATTAAGCAGTTGAACGAGAGTGTGGACATCGAGGCCGAAGTGGGGGAGACGCCGTTCCGAGTCTCCGTCGACAGATTCAAGCAGAAGGTCCAGTACATTCCTCTTAAGCGGGACCTGAATGCGGTTTTGGACGCCACCCGGGTTGCCGACTTTGTGGTGGTCATGCTCTCCGCTGATGTCGAGGTCGATGAGCTCGGAGAGCTGATGCTGAGGAGTCTGGAGAGCCAGGGTCTGTCAACCCTCTTCACCGTTGTCTACGGTGTGGACAAGATCGACCAAGCCAAGCACAAGCAGTCCACCCTCGGTTCTCTGAGGTCATACATCACCCACTTCCACCCCGAGCAGGAGAAGCTCTACCAGCTAGAGAACAGACAGGAGTGTGCCAACCTCATGAGGTCACTCTGCAACACCACACCGAAGGGTGTCAGGTGGCGCGAGGACAGGAGTTGGATGTTAGCCGAGGACATCAAGTTCGCCAGCTCAGGACTTGACTCAACAGTCATCACTGGTGTCGTCAGGGGACGTGGCTTGAAGGCCAACCGCCTGGTTCAGCTGGGCGACCTTGGCACCTTCCAGATCGAGAAGATTACGAGTGCGCCGCTGCCCAAGAAGCTGAAGAGGGGCGAAATGGCCGTAGAGGAGACCGAGACCGAGGAGACTCTTGATACCCCTGATGAAGACCAGGATGATTTGGCAGAGCTGGCCCCTGATGCGCCGATGGAAGACGACGAGATGGAAACGAATGAGCCGCCAGAGATCCAGAAGGGTGTGCTTCTCGATGACCACCACTACTTCAACGACGACTACTACGAGGCCGCGGAAGCCAAGACCAGAGTCCCCAAGGGAACGTCCAACTACCAAGCGGCATGGTACCTCGGCGACGACATGTCAGACTCAGGTTCCGACATGGAGGACTTTGAGATGCAGGACGGCGACTCTGAGGAGGACGAGGCCCGCCCCGAGGATGGTCTCGAGGGTGCCGCGCCCAGAGAGCCCACTGAGGGTGCACCTACAACATACGCACAGTCCGAGAAGTTCATCGAGCCGGATGAAGAGGAGGACGCTGCCGGTCTCGCCGCCTACCGCGCGCGCAAGACGGACGAGGTCGAGGACGACAAGGAGTTCCCCGATGAGATCGAGCTGCACCCGGGCGTTCTCGCGCGCGAGCGCCTGCAACGGTACAGAGGTCTCAAGAGCCTGCGGACGAGTGAGTGGCTCGAGAGCGAAGACCGAGCCTACGAGCCCGAGGAGTGGCGCAAGCTCCTCCAGATCCCAGACTACCAGGCGTCCCGGTCGCGGTCCACCCGTGAGGCCCTCGTCGGCGGCGTCGCTCCCGGCACCCGCGTCCACGTCTACCTCAAGGGCGTCCCGGCGTCCTTTGAGAAGTCGCACCAGCCCGGCCGGCCGGTGACGCTCTTCTCCCTCCTGCGCCACGAGCAGAAGAAGACGGCCGTCAACTATCTCTTCAACCTGAGCGCCGATCACGATAAGTCCATCAAGGCCAAGGAGGAGCTCATCGTGCAGTGCGGCCCCCGTCGCTTCACCATCAACCCCGTCTTCTCGCAGCCGGGCAACACGCCCAACAACGTGCACAAGTTTGCCAGATACCTCCACCCGGGCCAGTCCGCTGTCGCGACGTTCATGGGTCCCGTCACCTGGGGCGCCGTCCCCGTGCTGTTCTTCAAGCGCACCGAACCCACATCCGGGGACGCCGAGAGGGATTCTGCCCTCAACCTGACGCTCGTCGGCACCGGCACCGCCCTGCCGTCATCGACGAACCGCGTCATCGCCAAGCGCGCCATCCTGACGGGTCACCCGTACCACATCCACAAGAAGATCGTCACCATCCGCTACATGTTCTTCAACCGCGAGGACGTCGAGTGGTTCAAGGCCCTGCCGCTATGGACCAAGCGCGGCCGCACCGGCTTCATGAAGGAGCCCCTCGGTACCCACGGATACTTCAAGGCGACCTTCGACGCCCGTATCAACCCGCAGGACTCTGTTGGTGTCAGTCTGTATAAGCGTGTGTTCCCACGCAACGCAGTCCCCTTTGAGGGGCCTCTGCTTGAGGCTGGCGTTCCCGAGCTGGTCGAGCAGGGCGATGTGATGATGGAGTAAAGGAAAAACAAAACATAGGCCAAGGGAAAAAATAAAATGAAAGTCAGACATGATGAGATGGAAATGCCCAAAAAGGGGTGCGCCCCGGGAAAAGAATGCATAGATATTAGCAGTAACGTCGGCTATAGATACAGGTCTGATGCCATCCTCCGGAGTTTTTTTTTGAAAAGAGAGATTCGTTCAACTTTTTTTTGCATCAACCCTCACTTCTTACATTCTTCCAACGTTCGATGGCACATATGCTACTCAAGCCTTGAGGCTGTCAAGGCCCTCCGTAGGCCGCGGTCCGCCCGCAGCCCTACGGTTCTCCTCGGCACCACTCGCCTTCCACGCGCTAAGCATGAGGTTGACAATGTGATCAACGGCAACATTCTTCTTCACCTGCGCAAACACGGTCGGCCCGCCCTCGCGCATCTTGCGCGCGTCCCTCTCCATGACGCCCAGATCGGCGCCCACAATCTCGGCCAGATCCGTCTTGTTCACAACCAGCAAATCGCTCTGCGTGATGCCCGGGCCGCCCTTGCGCGGGATCTTGTCGCCGCCCGAGACGTCAATGACGTAGATAATGTAGTCGGCCAGCTCGCGCGAGTAGTTGGCGGCCAGGTTGTCGCCGCCGGACTCGATGAGGAGGAGGTCGGCGTCGAACTCGCGGTGGAGGTCCTCGAGGGCGGCGAGGTTGGCCGAGATGTCCTCGCGCACGGCGGCGTGCGGGCAGCCGCCCGTCTCGATGGCGCGGATGCGCGGGGCGGGCAGGGCCTTGTGACGGGTGAGGAATTCGGCGTCCTCGCGGGTGAAGATGTCGTTTGTGACGGCGGCGATGGAGTACTTTTCGCGCAGGGCGAGGCAGAGGGCGAGCATCAGGGCCGTCTTGCCGGAGCCGACTGGTCTGGGGGGTTGGGTATGCGTGTTAGCCTTTTTTGTTCGTATTGCATTGCCATTGGGAATCATTCATGTCCAATTTGATACTGGGCATGTATGCCCAGGGCGCTTCTCGCAAGCCATTTGAGGTCATCCAGATCGCAGAGCGATTTTTGGACCGCCCCAGGGCTGGAATAGTATCTTGAACTCACCCTCCAATTCCAATTGTGAAAGCACGATCGCTCCAGTTTCTGCCCTCGACAATGGGCATCTCACGGCCGAGGTAGCTTCCAGGACCGTCGAGGATCTCGTGGGAGTGGCCGTGCTCCTGGGCGTTGAAGCCGCCCTCGTGGGCGTGCGCGTGGCCGTGAGGGCCGTCGTGTGAGTGCTCGTGAGACATGGTTGTGTGAGGAAAGTACGAGTTGTGATTAGATGGGAATTCTTCAAAACCTGACTTCACTGTTGTACAAGGAAGGGAGGTTTGTGAAGCTGTGGCTTATATGGAGGAAGCTGTTGAAGAATGGCGGGGTCACGTCTGAGCACTGTCAAGGGATCGCGGGGTCCTGGACTTATCGCAGCGATAAGATCTCAGCGCGTTGCGCCCGGGCGTAGGAGAGCTGATCCCCCCACGGCCGCCGCCGGCGCACTGAGTGCGGGGACACACCGCTCCTCCGGGTCCGCGAAGAGAGAGATTCCAGTAACGAGACGCAGCACTCAAATAGCACTGACAGGTCGATCATCTCTGTCTCTGCAGCCGTTGGTTGTCGCCGTATCGAATATCAGAAGTCCCGCAATGGGTGAGCAGAGAATAAGTATCTCTACTTGTGAAGCATCTTGTATTCGTGCTGCCGCCCGTCTCACCTACTGGGGGCTGTAGATATGCTCATCCGTGAACCATGCACCAATCCCTTCCAACGCCTAAAAATATGCATCGCGAACCATAAATCAACCATCTTATGCTCTCCAGTGTAAGCTCCCTTCACTCAAGCCTTGGCTGGCGAACCACCGCTCCCCTCATCCTTGGGCTTAGGCGGCTTCGGCACCCTCTCATACGCATTCGGGCTAGGCCGCCTCCTCTCGCTCCCCTCGCGACCAGACTTCCTCCCATGCCCGTGGCCGCTGTGGTCATGATCGTGGTCGCCGCAGTCGTGGTCATGGTCTCCCCGCTTACCGCTCTTCTTTCCTTTACCCTTACCCTTGTGGTCTCCCGAGGGTACCCTCCTACGCCCTCCGTTAGTGTCCGCCTCCGAGTCGGAAGAGTCGTCAGAGGAATCCGAGGAAGACTCGTCGCTGGATTCGTCTACGCCTTTGGGGCGGTGGTAGATGCAGCAGACTATGAGGTTGTGTTAGTCGGTACTACATTCGACCAGATGACAGGGCGACGTCAACTCACCTTTTGAGCTCTTGCGTCCCAGGCCCTCGTTATCCACCACGTCCTCCGCCCATCGCACCGACTGCCTGGATGGAGCGTGGGCACCTCTCAGCCGTAGAATTGCCTGCGTGCCCGTCCTGCTCTGCGTTTCCGTCTGAGTCTGGGAGGGGCCTGGTGCCGAGCGCTGCGGCAAACGGTCTTGTAAGCCCGCCATTGTGGTGAGAAATTCGGTACAAGGAAGTTTTGCGAACGTCGAAGGGCGGAGAGGTTTGTGTGGTCGCGTGCTGCCGATGCAGTCACTTTTCTTCGCGGGGGCGCTTCTCACACCGATAAACCCCTAATATTGTAAAGCTTGCTGGGTCTTCTCGAATAGTGGACTTGATGCAGTCGCAAATCTATGGCTGTCGTGCGTGTTGAGGCGTCTGTCGCGTGCAGATTCGTCACCCGGCGGGAAGATCGAGGATATTCAGGGGTTCGTGTATCCGTAGGGATTTGGCTATTTGTAAGTTTGGAGGAAGGCAAAGAGGGTGGAATGCTTTCTAGATCCTTATTTTTTTTCTGGAGGGGCGGGAAAGAATGCGGGCGACGGTCACAGGCCAAACATGGAACCCCCCGATTATTCAGGTACAGCCTGGGCAGCCCGGACGATTCAGTGCTACCAACCCCACGTCATTCCCTGAAGATCCACAGCTAACCGACAGCCAAGGCCCGGAGCCACGGCCGGGACAGTTAATTTCAGGAACGCATCGGCGCCGCGAGAAGGTTCCGGATTCGGTGATCCAAACGGTCGCGGATGTCGGCCACAGTCAACAGCTCAACCACTCCGTAACTTCGACTGTATCCAAAGCTCATGACACGCCGCGCATTTCCCATGCGTAAAATGGTTCGTGGAAATGGCCGAGTGCTTTGGAAGGGGCGAGAGAGGGAGGAGCAAGAGTGCTCCTGCTACCTTGCTGTCCTGCTACGTAGGTACTTGACTGATTCTATTGATCCTGCCACCTCTCTGACCTGCCACCTTCCTATCCTTCTTGCGATCCTCCTTCGTACCTTACTGGCCCTGCTGCCTTGCTGTCCTGCTACCTCTGACCTGCGACGTACCTTCCATTACTGATTTACTGATCCTGCTGCCTTGCCGTCACAGGTCTGATATCTATATCAACCCAACCTCCCACTCTTCTCTTCCTCAAGCCGCAGTTTTCTTCATCACCTCAAACCACGCCTCCTAGGAACAGCACCTCTTCCCTTAATTTTGGTCTTCCGTGCATATTCAACCATGAATACTATCCAGAAGGTTGGTATTCCTCTTCCTGTCCCCCTCTCTTTGCCGATTGCTAACCACAATCAGTGCATGCGTGCGACGTTCCGACGCAATCCAAGCCCACTACTCCCAGTGGTGCAGACAAGACTCATTGCAACAAGACCAGGTCTACCACCATCTGATCAACTGCCATCTGATCAACCGCCATCTGATCAACCGCCATCTGATCAACCACCACCTGATCGACCAACCAACGACACAGCCGAACTTCTTCGAGCTGTCGAGGCACTCAACACTCAGGTTGCAGCACTTGCCGCAGTTCCCCCGCAGGTTGCAGCAATTCATGAGACCGTGCAACGAGAATCGAAATGGTGGCGCAGGTTTCTCTTCTAGTTGTCGTCAGTCGTGTCGTCTGCGATTGTGGTGAGCCATCTAAGCGTAAGTATGTCTCCTCTGGCGGCGTGTCCTTTACTAACATTCCCAGGATGCGTGGGAATGGGTGACTGCCACCTATGAAAGACACGTGGGATAGTACCCATTATTAAAAAACTCAACGACGCCTCTGTCCCGTCCCGCCCTATTTCCCTTTTATTCGCCTACGAATAGTTCCGGAAATGAGTAGAAGTTAGAGAAAGACTAGAGACGGGGAAGACACCTAGAGATAGGGAAGACACCTAGAGACGGGAGAGACGCCTAGAGATAGGGGGCAGACATAGAGACGGGGGGCAAGCTTAGAAATAATAGAAAGACTAAAGACGGATGTACTGATGGAAGTAGTAGATCTGTGTAGTAGAGTCGTGTAGTAAATTTGTAGCGTGAATGGCAGATTGTCATTATTGTTACATGGTGTTGACATATGGGTATCGCATGCAAATAATGCTACAACTGATGTACATAGTATGTGTGTTTGTGGGGAGATGTTACAAGGCCATTCAAGCAGCCGCCGCAAGAGCTCTCTTGGCAGCCTTAGCCGCCTTCTTCGCGCCCTTCATGCTCTTGCGCGGACGGCTCTTGATCACCTTCTTGGGAGACTTGTTCAGAAGCCACGCATTCATCGGCAGACGGGTGCCAACGAACCTGCCCTCGGGCGTCCAGACCTCGACGACGGGCCAATTGGGCTCATCAAGACTTCGGGCAGGTTTCGCGGCCTTCTCCTCCTTCTTCTTTAGCTTCTCGACCGTCTTCTTCAGCCTATCGACCTGGAGGAGACCGGCCTGGTTGATCGATGCCGCTTCCATCTTGGCGAAACCATTCTCAGGCTCAGGCTCATCCTCGAGTTCGGGCTCGGGTTCAGGTTCCTCCTCGATAAAGGACGGCGCGCAGCCGGAAAACAGATCCTTGGTCCGCACCTGCGCCACGATCTCGACCCATCCGCACCCCTCGATGAGGATGTCGGTGGCCACCACGCGCCAGGGGAGGTCCTCAACTTTTCTGCGGCCGACGTCCTTGCGAGTGAGGGGTCCGGCGCGCTCCTTTGTTACGTCGTACTTGAGCTCAAAGGAGCCCGCGAGCTTGAGCTTCTCGGCGAGACCGGGGGCGGCGATGTTGGGCACGCGGTCGGATTCCCTCGTCTGCTGCTGGAACTCGATGGCCTTCTCGGTGGAGGTCGCGTGTTCGGGGATGGGGGTGAAGTTGTAGGCGAGGAATACGAGATCCGGCGTGGTGGGCGTAATGCGGATTAGGCTTCCTAGTAGGAGAGACTGACCAGGCTTGAGGGATTGCTGCTCGGGCTTGATTCGGTGGTGCATGATGAGATCTTTGTGGTGCTCGGGTTTGACGTATTTCTCGAGATCCGATCGAGCCACTCCAGGTAGGTCAATCAGCTCGCCCTTGCCGTTACCATAGGGAATTCGGATAGGGGAAGCCGTCGTGCCTGGAAGAGAAGAGACCGTAGGCATCTCCGGATAATCTGTTTCGGGACGAGCAGGAGGCAGTAGAGCATCCACTTGGAAACGATCAGAATCGTTCTCAAAGTTGCCCCTCGCGGCATAATGGGCGCCGTCGCTATCCTCCTCCTCTCTTGCAAACAAGGAGATCTGCACGGGGTTCTTTGAAGGAAGAGATGCTGAGGTGCCCTTTGGGAATACCGAGTCAAACAACTGACTCTTTCCAACGTTGACCTTGCCAACCATCCAGCCCGCGCCGCCACGCTTGTAAATCTCCTCCTTGAGCGACTTGGTCCACCAGCCTCGCTGGGCGCTAACGCACTTGACGTTGCCCAGTCTGATGAGCTGTCCAAACTTGCCCAGCGACCGGCGCAGAACCTCTCTCAGGTACGGCATGAGCGAGTCCACCTGCTCCTTCTTCGGCGCCAGCAGATCCGACCGTGTGATGATGAAGCTCATGTCGAACTTGCGGTCCTTGAAGTACCTCCCCGCCCTATTCCTACGGTTCTTGTGCTTCAAGTTGGCGTCGAGGACCTGGTGCAGCTTCGGAATGAACGACATTGGGAAGTCGGCGGCGTCAACTACGTGGTAGATGTGGTTGTTCTTGAAGGGGGACTCCTCGATCGTCTCACGCAGGGCGTCGACCGACGGGTGGTAGATTGGCTCTCCGGCGTGGTGGTGCACCAGCTTGTGGCATCGGTCGCAGAGCGGTGCTCTCTTCGACTTAGGACCTGGTGCTGTCGCGAATTGTCAGTACCATCGATAGATGCAGTTCACAGTAGACTACGCACTTGTAACGTCCGGACCCAGCTCCTCTCCAAAACGCAGCGTCTTCGGGTCCAGGCCAAGTTCTGCAAGCTGCTCCTCGCTCATGTTCTGCAGCACCTCATCAATGACCTTGTCTTCCTCCCGCGCCTCATTTTCCGCATCTTCCATGCTACCCTTGGGCGCAAGATACTCCTTCACGGCTTTCCTGCTCAGGTCGTAGTACCCAGCATGCCCAGCCTCCGTCGTTTGGCTCAGTGCGCCGCAGCCACTACATGATAGCGGAAGGGTCTTCCGTGGAATCTTGGTCGGTTCGTCAGCAGGAGGCAACGGGGCCGCCGCTGCCGGTTCGGATATCGTAGTCGCCTCGACGTGCATACAGCGTCGCTGTCTGTAGGGAAGGTTGCGGTGCGCATCACCAGTTGGCGCAAAGTGGTGTCGCGCAGACGCGGTGGTGAGGGATGGGCAGAGGTAGACCGGAACTTCACCCAAAGCGGCCCGGTCTCCAATGCTCATGGCGCTCCTGAGCCATCTCGACGATAATGCGCGATGCATTGTCGCAAGAGCATTAAGGAAAGAATGTAGTAATTTGCGTATTAGCTTCAGGACTTTTGGGGGTCCTTGTAGCTTTACGACTAAACAAGCACCCAGGAAATTCTAGAAATTTTGGGGAACGATCAACGCCCGAGCTGCACCGATAAGAGTTCCAAAACCCCTTATCGCCGGACAATCATTTGCCCCCGTCCCGAAAAGTCCAAGGGTCGCGGGCAATTTTCAGACTCCCGACCACGCGACTGACATCGAGAGAAGTGCTTGGTGTGAAGTGCAGTTTCGAGATACCCTTAAGAGACTACCGCCCAAGATGACTCGTGTAGGAGCGAGATGGCACGCTCTGAGAGCTGTAGGTTTCCTTGAGCCATTGCAATACCCATGACGAAGTGAGAAAAGCTAACTTTTGGTGAACAGAAGGTACTTACATCCCGCTCGAGATCTACAACCCCGACATAGCTCCCAGGAATAGCTTCAATTGACACCCGCCAGATCCTCAACATCCGCTTCGGCCTCGGTGCCGCAAAACTGCCTCCCAATGTCACGAGGATACACATGGAGTTCGCCAGGCGCGTAGATGGCGGCCACTTCGGACCCAAGTTCGTCTCCTTCCTCTGCCTCCCCAAGAGCTTCATCATCCCCCTCCGAGACCACCAAACTAACCACCGCTCTTCCCCTTTTCTCATAGAAAATTCTGGCGCGACATGCTCCCCCGCCTGAAATACTACAATCCCGCCGTCCCAATGATCGTGAACCGCAAAAACAACAACGAAGGCGCAGCAATCATGTCCGTCTACTTCTCCACCTCAGGCGAACCCCTCGAACCCTCCACCCTCCCGCAACCCCCCTCCTCGGCAATCGACAACTCCAAAGCGCCCGCGCCCCTCGAAGGCCTCGAGCGCGTCGTCAAGATCGACATGAAGAACAAGCACTCGGAAGAAATCTACGATCAGTTCTTACAAGAGACCAAGGCCGAGGCTGTGCTCCCCGGTCCCGAGGACGAGGCGGATATGAAGGCCGCCGAGGAGCTGAGGATCAAGGGCGACAAGGACCGGAAGCGGGTGGCCAAGATTCTCGAGGAGGAGAGGAGGGAGAAGGCTATGCTTGCCAGGGCGCGCGCTGAGGCGAACTAATGATACTAAAAGGGGGCGGACGGGTGGAGCAGAAGAACAAAAACTTATGTACGAGGGCGTGGAGAAGAAACCGAAAAAAGTGTATGAATATCATGTACAAAATGTACCAAAAAGAATCTCTGCAGAACGGGAAATGCTCTGAGTTGTGCTACGACCAGTCTACTGGCTTGCTGGGCTACTGGACCAAGTCCTGGTCAAGATCACAAAGGCTAGTTCAAGAGACACAGAATGATGAATTGTGGTTGGAAACCGAATGAAATCCTTTCCATTAAAACTACCCATGGACTTGTGCCCATGTTCATCCAAAACCTTGACGCCGCCTACCGCCCAAGAAAGACCAACAAGCTAAAGGTCATTGTGAATCTGCCAGCCATACCATCTAGATGCATGCTGCTACCCTTTGCAGGGCTGCGGTTTGTCTTTCTGTAAACTTCGATATCGATGCTCCCTGTAGCTCATTTGACACATGATGCGCTTATTTCAAACCAAAGCCTTCGCTCTCGTGCACGGCGGTCCATAACATGTGCTCCAGTCTCTCCCTCGACCCATAACGGCGCAGGGCCAGCATGTTGAAGCATGTTCGAGCGATGGGATACCTGTTCTCATCATCGCCTAGACATGTAATCTTGATTGGGAGAAGAGCAGCACCCATTGCCGGCACTCTGTCGGTACCGGTGATGAAGGAGAGAAGCTTCCTCTGCTCATCAGCAGTTGCATTCTTGAAGGCATCCCAGAACCATCCTATGACTGGCTCTACCCCATCAGGGTTCTTCGAACCCCAGTTGTCGTACTCAGCCACGCCCCTCAGGGCGTCCACGTCGAGTGCCGTATCTGAGCCTCGAACAAGCAGTTCAATCTCCTCGGGTCGAAACAGCGACAGCGCGTTGCCGCCACACACAGTGTAAAACCCACGTTTGAAGGGCTCAAACTGCCGGGCAACCGCCGTTTCGAGTAGGTACCTGACGTATAATGTGACGTACTCTGCTCTGTTTGCATTCGTGACCGGCTTCCTCTCTCCTCCCGGACACAGTGGGACCTGCATCACAGTTCCGTACTTCTCAATGTCCACAACAAAGTCCAGCTGGAAAGTCGTCTCAACGTCACCGTCAAACTCAAGAAGCTGTTTGAGGCCACTCGCTAAACGCGGGCGATACTCTGACAGGTCTTCTAGCGTGTAGTTCATGGTTGGCCGAGGATGGGCAGATGAACCTGACGATGAGCTAGGGGCGGAAGCAAGAAGCTTCCGGAAGGCAAAAGGCGGCAGCGCCACGTCGAGAATGGTGGAGTTGTATATGGCCAAACCCATTACAACGCCAACCAGGAAGAATTGGTCAGAAGTCTCGAAGGCGTTGGGGTTGAAGTAGCAGAATTGAGAGTCCTCGTCGTAGATGAACATGCCTATAATGTGGTGTTAGAAACAGACTCAGACCTCACGCAGACCGATACGTACCATGCTCGGGGTTGAACACCTCACGCACGAGGAGAAGAAACCATTCTTTCTTCAAGCCACCTGCGTCGAGCCCCTCCTCGCCTTTGAAAACGATGCGTAACCCCTTCTTGATGTCTTCGCTCCCACTTCCAATGACTTCGCTCACAGCCTTCAAACTGTCGTCAACCAGGCACTCTCTTCGAACATCAAGCACCAAGAATTGCGTAACGTTTCTCCTTGTCATAATGCTGTCGAAGAAGGCGTCCCGTGCCTTGGTCATTTGTTGTCTTCGTGCGTCGTGCTCCAGGATCTGGGACTTGGCCCACATGCTCAGCAAAAATGGATACTGACAGAACGAGAACTTTCCCCTCTTCGATTCCCATGCTTCGAACTCGGCTACCAAGTCGGTGTAGTCAATCATGGTGTTGTAGAAGTCACTTGTAGGGATGATTTGTCCATGTGCCTGTATACCTCCTCTGTGAGTACTGCTACTCATGTTTCCCGTCTGATCCGGTCGCCGAATGTGCGTCATATTATTTGCCGCAAATACTAGAGAGAGAACCCTGGCGGCGGCCCGGATTTGCCAGTCTTCATTATATACCATCTTTTTCTGTTGCTCCTTCTGTTGTTTTGAGGAGCTACGCTGCGTTCCTAGCGCTGCGTGCAGCGAGGCTGCTGAATGACCGGCACTCATGTTCGGAATCAGCCCGGCTGTTATGTCAACTCTGACCTCGTGTTTCTTCTCATTCTGGCGAATGAGTCTGTAAGTTAGGAACCCAGCGGCAAGGTCCGTGATCTTGATGAATCTAGCCTCAGAATACCGCGCGAACCAAGTAGTTAAGTGGTTTTGGCATGAAGTCGATGAATTCGAAATCAAGCCCAAGATTCGCTTGATAATGACGGAATGTTGACCAGATACGGGACCGGTTTTCAGGGTCGATCTGTCTTCCCTAATAATCTCGTCGCGTTTCAGCGATGGACGTCTGTCATTGTTTCCTCGGCCTTGGAAGGCATTCGACTCTCCGTAAAGCAGCGGGTTCTCCAAGATGATGAGAAGATATCTCAGGTCTTCTGGATCAGTCATCGGCCGCCCAGGACGCTTGAGTAGTGTTTCGATGGCTTTCAATAGGATCCTGTGGGTGTGGTCTTGGCCGAAGAGTAATTGGGACTCGATGGCCCGGAGCTCTGTTGCTGATAGAGGGTCTGCCTCTGAATCTCGGGTCATCTCCTCATAAATGGACATCCAGGATTCAGCAGCATTGATCACCGATCTGTACCACTCCGTAACTTGATTCCATTCCACCTGCGGCGAGCGAGACGTGATGAAAGAAGGGGCATCCTCCATCCGCTGTGAAGCCGATCGCTTGTGGCGTGTCCCTCCCTGACTTTGGTTCCCAGTCCACCACGTCCCGTTCTCGGCGAAGTCACCGAGCAACAGAAGCTTAGGATCGAGATCACATACAGGCGATTCGGAATGTTGCTCTGCGTATTTGGGCTCGGGCCTGGGGATTGGCGGCCGCCGTGATGCCGACTCACTCCCTGAGCGAGTGGCTACGACAGGCCGACGAGAGAGAAACGAAGAGTTGACACAGTGAAATGAACTGAAGCAGGTGGTAATGTAGTCTTCCAGCGGCCTGAATATCCTCTTTGGATCATCGGCATCAAGGAACCTGGGGCCCGCCGGCCGCGGAGCACTGGCGTCTGCCGTGAGCTGGCGCATGGTGGGCCTCTCGGGGTAAGAAGACGAAAATGACCGGGCTGTCGGGGGCAGGCGCAGCGGATGCAAGTTGGGATTTTGGCGGAGCGTAGGCTGCTCCGGGAAGAGGTAGCCAGAGCCATTACCTTGGCTTCTCTCCCGCCTGTGCTGTGGACCTCCTTTCGTTCTCGAGGTGCAAGGCCGTTCACTCTGTTCCCGAAACGGACTTGGGGTTGCGTGCCTCTCGGCGACGACCTCGCGATGCTCATCCTCTGAGCTCGAGGACCTCCTAATCGCCCTCGCTAGATGTGCATGGATGGATTGCCGGATCAGTCTCTTGGTCTGGTCGAGTGAAATGGGCCTGGTCTCGTATCGTTCTGCCGGGCGTGTGGTCTGTTTCTGAGGCGACGTCGATTCTTGGGACGGGCGCTGTAGCCATTTGGGGCCGCTATTGGATCTGGCCGGTAGCTGGTCCGGGTGGATGTCATTGATGGTGACACAGACTGTGCATTTGAAGACCTTCAGCTCGCGTGGCCAGCGCACGAGAGAGCCGCAGGTCATGCAATTGCCAGTCGCAAAGTCCCTGCTACCACCACTGGTGCCTCCCCTCTTGTGTGTAGTGTTGTTGTTGCCGGGCGGCTTCGTCATGACGGGCGCATCGTCTTCGGAATCGGTGTCATGGGAGGTGTCGGGGCGCTTCTTCTTGCTGGAGAATAGCGAAGGGAATGGGTGGCTCATGGAGCGGGAATGTGTCGGACGGCGCGGGCGTCTTGGGTGGAAATCGGATTCGGAAGAGCTCGAGTCGGCATGGAGGTGGGAGTTATCCAAAATCACATAGCTGTCGGGCAGTCGTCCCAGCTGGCCAGGTGGTGCAGTGTGCGAGGGGCTGTGTATTCGGGAGACAAGGTCGGCGGAAGTTTGACGGAGAGTAGGAGGGCGAGGAGGTGGAGCATGACGTTGCGACGACCAAGGAGCCATGTTTGCGAGCGATGCCGTCTAAACTCTGCGACAACAGCAAGGGCACCTGGCCAGCTTGGTCTGCAAGCAGCAAATCGGCATGGAGAAATGAGGATGTACAAGAAGGCAAGGTTAGTTTTTCCTCACGGTCTGTCCTTTCTCTCTTTCTCTCTTTCGAAATGGTTTCTGCCACGCGCCCAGGGAAGGTAGTTGAAGTAAAAGTGAGACGATGGAGGACGAGGGGGGTGGGAAAGTAAGGTGCGGCTGGAAGTGGGAGGGAGGGAGGGGAGAGCCTGCACTTTGAATTAAGTTGAAGGCGTGTCTCGTCCAACAAGTGTGGATGTAAGTCAAAGGGACGAGACAGGACACGGCATGACACTTGCTGCAGGAGAGGACAGGCTTCACGATGCAGGTGGTAATAATAAGGCGCGCAAAGAGGAAGTGTCCGACGCACCCATGCTGGGATTATGCTGTTGTGATAGGTTCTAGCTGTAGAAGACTGCAGTACGAACATAACAAGAGGCCATAGAGCTAGAGCAACACCGACAAGGCGGAGGGCCCAACAGCTGGGAACCTCGATACCATAGATTAAGTGTGGACTAAGTGAAAGTGACAACGGCTTCATTGTTTTTGTTATGGTGTCAATAGGTCAGCTACGGTACTTGGGAGCTTGGTGTGCTTGAGTCCGGCTGGAGGTAGTGCAATTGACCGTCTTTAGTGTCCCAGCCAACAATTTGCGCCGAGCACACGCACATACACACATACATGAGAAGAGGTATCAGACGACGGGACGGACATGTAAAGGGCATTCGGAGGTGATGGTCTTTGAACTGAGCGCCGCGCTGTGCGTTCCTCTAGAAATCCATCTTGGCCACAGGCCGCAGAAAGAGAGACTGAGAGATTGAATGCTGGGACGCGACTCGACTCGAGCTCGGCCGAGGGTCAAGGAGGGAATGAAAATTGAACAATGTAACGGCAGCAGTGTCCCGAACCAAGACATTCCCTTAATAATTATGCCAGGTTCCATGTTCTCTCATCTCAATCTTGTCAGGTCTCGTATTCGACAGTCGACGCTGGGAGCACATGGAGCCGAGAGCGAATCAGCAGGCTGCGTATGTCAGGGCAAACATATTAGTACACCAGAAGTGATTAAACTGTTGATCCCTGGTGAAGCGCCGCGTGGCTGACTGAGTGCCCTTTCAAGTTTCCCACAGATTTGTATCTCTCCCTGACATTGATCCCGAATAGTGACCTTCTAGAGAAAAACAAAAAGTCTACAGTTATACTCTGATACACGGTTCACTGCTCCTTACCTGACTTGCAGGTAGGTATGTACTTGTGTCAGAAGATGAAGGTGGCCGGCTTCCATGTCTAATTATTGTACTACATATCAGTACGAACCTAAGGCAAGGTACCTTGATGCATGAACTCCTAAAGAGCCTGCTGTAATTAAGGTCCCAGAAACGTCAAACATGATCAGCCACGCTGTCAATCTAACATAAGGTAACAGAATCATCAGCCTGGACAGCTGTGGAGTGATATGAAATGTTGCAATTTCCTAATGACAACCCCTGGTCCAAATGTTTCTTTATTGAGGGATGGATAACAGAGGCGTATTTTAAGGGTCCTGGGCTGAGTGCCTGAAGCAGGGGGGCCTTTTTGCCGGGTCAGCACTCAGCTCCAGACTCCAGTGTAACCCAAGCCGCCAAACCAAACAAAACCAAGCCGACCGCGGCTGTGAGAATCCCTGCAGGGGGAACACTCCAGTCTCCAGCATGCATGCCTTCCCGCTATTGCCCTGCCTTAGCACACCACTCACGCTGCAGCTAGCGGTCCAAGGTCGCACTTCCCCGAGACCGGCACCCGGCGGGGGGAACTTCGGGAGACGGATGGTTTGTTCCTTCCTGTATTTCACTCCGTACCTACCTAGGTAGGTAAAGTAGGTAAGCACGCGGTTGTCAGAATAAATGGCACACTTAGGTAGCTAACTACTTTCTCCGTCCTAATTCATAAATTCTTCCCTAATTCAACTTTAATCTGTAGCCTTTATGATAAATATTGAGAAATTTGTAATATTTTTATATATTTTTAGTGCTTTTAAAATATTTAAACTTACTATTTTAAACCTGGTTTTGCTGTGCTGATGCTTTAAGCTGCTTGTATACGTGCCGCTTTTTCTGGCAACCGCGTGGTAAGGTACCTGCCTGAGGTAAGTCCCCAGGGCAGGTCCCAATCCACCCAGGTCGTTTCCTTCCGAGTCCCGTCGGTGCCATCCAGCGCCAAGCCCGGCGACCTTAACTTCGAATGTGGGGGAAGGAAGTAATCGCGGATCCCCGTTTCGTCAATGACAGGCTCCTGCCCATTGGATCTTTGCTCCGGACCTTTGCTGTTGCACACTTGCATCCTCAACCTGACATTACCCTCGACCTTCACCACGCAGCTTCAGCAGATGAAAGCTGGCACAGCACACCGCCTCGGCCGTTTCAGCATCTCGGTGCATCCATGACATTCCCTCAAATCCGACTCTTCAACCTCGCTGTCCATGCCCGAACAACCGGGATCCCCCAAGCTCCACTCGGAGGAAGCTTCAAGCTCCGGACCTGACCGCCGCCGTGACGTCAATTCTTGTCTTGTCCGTCCTCGCGGGCTATCTTACAACCAATGTCTGCGCATTCGGACCCGCGATCGATCAAGCGCAACGCAGCATTGGCCGGTGCCTGTAGCCGTGGTCGTTTGTCCTCTTCGAAAGCTGTTCCTTAGACCTGACCCGTTGTTCTCCTGGCCAATGGCATGGATCAATTGCCTACGGACGGGACCAGTGAAGGGAACCTGAATGAGAAGACAGCAAGAGCCAGGAGAGTATTTTGTTCTGCTTCTAGCCGTCAATCTATCAACTAATAGTATGCAAGCTGCAAAACTGTCAGCAACCTTGAGACATGGTGTGATTACTATTGGTCATATGTCGCTCGCTTATCGTCTCTCTGCTGACGACTCCAGATCAATGCATCATACACAGGAAATTTGTGGGTGTTTGCGAACATTGTCATATTCTCATTCGTCATAACGTATGGACAGCTACCTGGTTATCGCTTCGCTCTATACATCTACAGCATCTGCGCAAATTGCGGCGATACCGAGAATTGGCAGTTGATAAACTGGATCGTATCGTTGCACCAGTTGGCCTCCTTTGTTCCGGTGCCAACCATTCTTGCCTTGTCTGATACCTTGGCGCCCTTCTTAAGCGTGCCCTGCAATGTGCTCTCGAATTCGCCCTTCACGATTGTTAGGTCACCCTCCAGCTCTGCCAGCACCTCGCCGCTTTCGCTTCGGAGCTCGAACTTGCTGATGCCGTGGTTAATCTCCAACGGACTGGGGTTGTACACCTTCATGGTGTTGACGAAACCACCGCCACGCTCCGCAGAGTTGACCTGCGCGATCTTGGGGCCGCCCATGCCAACGATGGGCACATCCTTTGCGTATTTGACCTTGGCCGACAGGCCGAGCGCCTTGATTGTGCAGTCGCCATTGTCGAGTCGCAACACCAAGCTCTCGTCGCACATGATGGCTTTGACGAACGCCATGAAGGCGTTGCGGTCGAGGATCTTGATGAGCTGGTCCTTGACGACAACCTCCGTACCACCAGACTTGGTCTTGACTTCGGGAAGATCCAGCTTGCCAAAGCAGCCGCCGTTGAACATCATGTCGACGGTCATCGGTGCCATTGTCGCGCCCATAGGTCCGGTGCCTGTGACCCTGCTCACGATTCCCATGACAAAGGTACTGTAATTCGCACAGCAGTCAGATTATGCCACAGAATGCCACCAAATGCATGCGCAGGAATGACTTACTCAGCCGTGGGCTGCGAGATCTTGATGTGCTCCACCTCCAACTTGGAGCGGTTGAGAATGGCCTGGGTAATGGCGTCCATTTTGGCTAGTGTGCTGATTTGTGGAAGCGCTAGAGGAGTGGTGACGTTCAGTACGCTGGTTTGGATTTCGTTGTAAGTGAGATTTGATTATTGCAGTTGAAGTTGATTGAAGAGTTGGTAGGGAAAACAAGGTGAGGAGCATTGGGTTTTATACACGCTCGCCATCTCGTCCAATATCCTGGTCATCACAACCCAGATACGGCCTCACTGTCGTCAGAACGAACACATGCAGCTTGAGCTGCCATGCCATGTGCTATTGAGCTGCCACAACTGCCTCGGAACCTGAGTCTCGTCTCCAACAGAACCCACCGCCACAACACAGTTCGCATAGCTCTTCGCATAGCTTGCTACCCTGCCACACCCCGTCCAAAACTTGACAAGGCCTCAAGGGGGTTTAGAACGGCCAGTCCATCAGACGAAGAATGGTTGCTATTCGGTGAGCCCAACACTTCGGATAATACCCCTGCGTGTATGACAGATCGATCAACCTACCGATCCTCCTCTGCCTGGAGTCCTGCCCCCTCCTCAAAACGGCAATTCCCTGTGCGGTGAAACACCAATGGAGTGCGAGGGTTTTCATCACAGCTCAGGAGCAGGAGCCAGCTCACGCACACAACGCAACGCACCCGCACCCGCATTCGCACAGCTCTTTTCGACGGCGGATCCCGCAATGCGAGTGAATGCTTCTTATTTGGTTTCCATTTCGCTTGGACGTCCCGTTTCGGGAAGCATTGAGCGCTTACCTGCCCTTCTATCCCCCCCCCACCTTCAACTCAAAAGACCCGTGCCGAGCTGGCGGCACATAGAGTCTCAGTCTCAGCCTCAGCTCTCTCTCATTCTCTCTCGCATACTTGACTTTATTCTTTCCCGACCTGCATGTGTCAGCGGCGCAACATCTGCCAGCCAGGTCCCTTTTTTTGTCACGTTCCGGAAAGCTACTCAAACCTAAGTGGGTAAAGAGGGCGCTGTAAACACTGCCCACCTCGCTGATACCTCCCCGGAGGCTGACTCGAAATGTTTACGTTGGGGGGAAAAGAGTCAGCCAAGAGGGTTAAAACACGTTTTGCAGATTAATGCTTGAAGCTGCTAATGCGGGGCGTGGGTGAAAGCATCAATCCCGGTACGCAACGTTGGGAAGAAAGAAGGTGAAGTTTGGCATGTGCTCTAGCCTTTTCACCGAGGGACGTCTGGTGTGGAGGTGAACGAGAAGAAGGTGCGGGATGTTTACTGATTGGCGATGCGTTCCCCGGCAGTCGTAAACTCAACCCTCTTTTTAGTAAGGATGTGGTTGTATCGCGAGGGCGGGGGAGGGGGAGGGTGATGAATTTGCCCAGCTAATGTGAAGGAAGTGCGGAGAGGCAGCGAGGTTACGAACGAGAAGAAACGGGAATAGGCTTCGGTCCCATGTGCGCCGGATGAATGATGCGGAGTAAACACTGCGTAGATCATCTTTGGTAAGATAGGTCTTGCTCGGGAAATCGAGATGAGAAGAAATGATTTGGGCCTGCGTAAACCAAAACATTCCAGTCCAAGGCACACGAATACGTTTCCGGACTCAGGTCTGGAATCGAACGGAAACTCGTGGTGATTCATCGCTCTTTCATTGTCGAGCCGGAAAACTGGGTAAGGAACAAGACTAACAGAACAAGAGCAAGCTTCTCTCTGTCCCTCAAACCCATCGAGGGTGCCATTCTTCTTTTTCGTTTTTGGTTTCTCGGATTCACTCCCCTTTCAAAACTCCGCAACCGCCGAGCCGCGATACGCTAACCTCAACCAATCCCTCAACCACCGGATCCCAAAGTCGTCATCAAAGTCATCAATCATTCAAGCAACACCTCTTCTGCGCCGCCGACCACTTTTTTTTTTTTTGCAAGTTCACCATTCGCCAACCACCGTCTTGCCCTACAGCCGTCCCACCAGCTTCTGACTCCGATCCGATGCTTGTCTAAGTAACGAAATGAGATGAGCCAAGCAGACACTTTTTTGTTTTTAAACAACAACGAACAGTCAAAGGCAACTTCATACTTGGGGAGAGAGAGTGACAAAAGGGAGAGAGAAACCAGTCTGTTCTGTCATGCTTGCGTTGCGGCACAGAGAGCCCTTACACTCCAGTAGCGTCATCGAAAACAATCGCGGCCTTGATGGCGCTCTTGTTCTTGATGGACTCGAGAGCCTCGCCAAACTGCTCGAGCTTGAACGTCTTGTTGACGATACCCTTGGTCTTGACCTTGCCCGAGTCAAGGTAGTCAATGGTGGCGGCTGCGCGAGTGTTAGTATGACTGGGCTAGAGTGCCTACTCGGGCAGCAGGTGCAGAGTTCTTCGAAGATTGATACGTACGGAACATGTAGGTCTCGGAAAAGGAGCCGAGAATCGTGATCTCGTCACCGAAAATTTTGGAGGGGGGCCATGATACACGGGCAGAGCTGCTGTAGACACTATTTTTGACACATCAGCAACCAGGTACGCTAAACCGGCGCTTTAATACCTTACCCGTAGACGACAAGCTTGCCACCGCGGCGGACGTAGTTGATGGCATCCTCCAGAATCTTGACGGAACCGGTAGCCTCAACGACGACGTCAAAGCCGTACGGGTGGTCCTTCTGGAGCTGGGTGAACTGAACCTGGGGGTCGGAGCGGGACAGCTCAATGTAGTTGTCGGCAGCATCCAAGCTGCGAGCGAGGTCCATCTTCAGACCTTGAGGGGCCGCGATGGTGACATTGCAACCACCGTTGTGGCGCATGAGTTGAGCAAGCATCTATATCGTGTTAAATCGATCAGCCATTGGTGCACAGGGTGCAGGGTGCAATATCCCGGCCGAAGTGTACTCACGAGACCGGTGGGGCCGGCGCCGAACATGAGGACGCTTGATCCGAGGCGGGGCCGGATCTTGTCCAGACCGTGGCAGGCACAGGAGGCGGGTTCGAGAAGAGTGGCATCGACATCGTTAAGGTTGTGGATCTTGAAGACCTTGCCGGCAGGGTACGCGCAGTACTCGGCGAAACCACCGTTCATTGTGACACCGTGAGCCTCGAACTGCAAACAAAAAAAGTGTTATTTCAACATCCGTCCGTATAAGTGGGAAAGTGGGTCGGGCATACGTGCTCGCAGAGCAAAAGCTCTCCACGTCGGCAGTAGAAGCACTCATTGCAAAGTTCACTGTTGTCGGCAGCAACACGGTCGCCAACCTTGAAGTCCTTGACTTTCTGTGCTTTCATGTTAGCAGCCATCCCGTCAGAAGTTGTGGACAATAGCCTTGCTTACAGGTCCAACGGCGGCAACGACACCAACAGTCTCATGGCCAGGGATCAAGGGGAACTTTGCAATGAACTCTCCCTCGTGAATGTGCTATGAAGATGTTAGTTATGTTGACTGGAGGCCGTGAGGTTCGGGAGGTTTTACCAAGTCTGTGGCGTCCAGGTTAGTCGTACAGATCAATGCAAAAGATCACCCTTGACTTGCACAGCGTATGCAATGGTACACGAGAGACGACGGTTCACTCACCAGTACCACAAACACCGCAAGCTCTAACTTTGACCAGAACATCATTCTCCCGAAGCTCTGGAAGAGGAACTTGGACAATTGACCAATCCTCGGGCTTCTCGTAGCTGAATGAGGGGTCAGCTTAGCGCCAATGGAGGGGTAGATGGTCCAGCGACCAAAGTTGCGTGAACTGCCACGCTGACCCGATGATCCTTCATGTTCGACAGAGGGGAGCCATACCGGAGAGCCTTCATCTGCTTGGGAAGGTTCGACATGTTGAAAAGTTTTTGACTTGTGCTCGAGGGTGGTAGGTGTGCTATCGTAGCTTGATGCTCAGTTAGCGAATGTCGACAGTATAAGTGAAGCTCAGCCTATTACAGGGGGTGGCAGAACAACGACGGAAGCTAACAACGTACACTAGAGACTCACTGGAGGACAAGTGAAGTGAGGGGAAGCTTGATTTGGTGCTTCGATGTGAAGCTCCCGGAGGTGGAATGGGTAGCTTTATATAAGGCCTCCTTCGAGCAGCGCGGGGAATGGGCGCATCTTGGGATGGAGATGGGACTAGGGTCCAATGCGTTGTTGGCTGGCGTGTCTGAGGTCAGGGTACTTACATCTAAACCCTCCCTTGGACTTGCATTGTACGCTCAAATCGGCGAGCTTCGATGGCTACACCGAGCTCATGTACCTCTCCATTTGTGCGGTGCCATCCGGCATGTTGGCGTAGGTAGCTGCATCCCGCGTCCGCAGACGCATCCTCGACTACATCGACGCGCCACTCGGCCAACAAATGACGGTACATACACGAGACGGCATCCCACGCCTCGAGAGAGACCCCAGCCTGGTCTGGCCAAACATTGATCGGTGAGGATGAAAAGCACCTGAGAAAGACCGGAGCTGTTGGCAGACCACAGAGCTGAGCAAAGTATAAACCCCCCCTGTGCGTCCAAAAATTGCCCCGCCCCCAGACTTTCAGCGGAGTTATTGCTGCAAACCTGGCGTCATCACGCAGGGCAGGGCTGCCACCAGCAACCAGACTTCCAAGCGCGGGAAAGTCGAGAGTTACAGGCTCTGGGTGCAATCGAAAAGCAGGGAGAAGAATCGAAGTGAGGGGGGCAAGGTTATGGCAACACGTCTACGAACGAGCTTCCAACAACCGCCAGGCAGTCCAGCTGTCTAGCTCATCCCATTGAACAGGGTCGAGACACTATCATCGAGCCACTCAGAGAAGCGAGAGCTAGCGAGCTGCATCCAAATTGGAGAGTGGGGAGCGTGCAAGCAGTCCTGGTCTCGAAATGTAAGTGTGTAAACCAGAAAGTGACAACACCACTTCCACCATCAACAACACCATCTCTTCTCTTCTTTCCCGTCAGGAGGTCCACTTGGACACCGCCGCAGTGCTTATCTTGCACATCCGGCACTCTTCCCCTGGCACACTACCTCAACAAAACATCCCCAAAGCCGGGCCAAGGAGAGTGGGAGCGTGGTAACACCCCATGGCACATGACATGAACTTACCGTAGTCTAGGTGCTCGTCTCGACTTTGCCCGGCGCCCAGGTTCTTGCTGATACGTATCCGCGCCCGCGATTCTCTCTCCACGCGCTATCCTTGAAGTGCCCCCCCTCGCCGGTTGTTCCCCGGTTTGCTGGCCTTGTAGCGCCAGCCCTTGGCGTGGAGACGCTGCCTCCACATGCAGTTGACTTACGTACCGGGTTGGTGCGAAGATAATAGAATGGGTCGTTGGATGCTCTGACATGATTCTGAGTCTCTGTCACCCTGAGGTTGGGCTTGATTTGCGTTTGGTGGCTCATAGCTTAATCGTGTCTCTGATTATTCTTCTGCACCACAAGGTGCTGGGGCATGATGAGATGTCCGTCTCTGCTCGCGCGGCTAGCGTTGAGACGACGTTCTTGCAGCTCCCGAGATTAGAAGATTTTCTACCGCGGATGGTGTAGTGAAGCTGTGTGAAGATGAGATCGGGTTGGGTTAGACAAAACATCGATTGGGTGAGGTGACTTTCATGGCAAGTACTCATGCCCAGGACCTTCTCTTCCTTCTCATCCCACAGCTCGGGGATATCGAAGTAACCGCGTCCGGAAGCTGGCACAGGTGCAGAAAGAAGGTCAGGTACGTAGGAGTGAGGGGGAGGGGGGATGAACCCTACCCTCTTCCTGAACGAGGTGCAAGCAATGGCACCCAAAGGTACGGCAAGACGTTGAGGAAGGCGTCCTGGTCTCTTCTGAGCCAATGCAGCGCATCTCACTTGCTGAGACAAAGACGCACAACCAGACAGCATTTACAAAAGTGTGGAGAGTGTGCTTGAGTTCCGACCTTACGCGGGGGGCACAATACAGGCTCTCGCCCATTCGGCGTCTAGAAACCTGGCAGTCATGAGATTTACGCAGTCACCGCCACTTCCCAACGACCCTACTTACCCGCCTCGGGATTCCTTGAACTAGCCATCCCGTTCAACTTTTGAGGCTATCACGCATATTCGCTAAGGCAAGGGAACATCGCGCATTGCTTCTTTGCACAGAAGGGGCAGCGGCGCCACAGGTAAAGCGCATTCATGTCTGGAACCATACGTTATTCGTGCGAAGCCTGCTGAAGCTATCCTACGTGCGTCGGCGCTTACCCCAGGCTCTCAACATTCCTTCATAGACGGACCCCTTTCTCGTCCATCCTCGACTTGAGAAATGCTTTGCGCATGTTCTCATTTCTTTTTTCTCATCTTTGCCTGCCCTCGACATGCAGAAGGGGTCTTGAACGTGGCCTCTCGCAACTTCAGCACCACCCCACGTGCTAGCCGGCAGACACTGCTTGCTCATCACAGCGTGGTAAGAAGGACAAAAGGACGTTTCACAGTTTGGAGGAAACGGCACAAAGCCGCAGGCTGCAATTCATGACCTTTTGATGCAAACGATTTCCGAGGATCTAACCTCCAAACTCCCACGATGTTTCCCCCGTTGTCTGTGACGTTAACAGACGCGCGACTGTTCCGGCCATCCACTTTTTAGAGTACATGTCGGTGCCTTTTTGTTTCTGCCAATGCGTCTCGAGAGTAAAAGCCGATAGGAAAGAATCCTCTTACGAGGGGGGAGCGGCGCCACGGCCACGGCCAAAGCCACCACGGCTGTAACATGTGTTAGCAAAAAAGGCGTTCCAACCCTTGCTATGCGCAGCATCGACATGTGCGCAAAGCATTAGAGGGGTTGAGGCTCACAATTGGGGCTCGAATCCACCAGGGGCACCACCCTCCTTGCCGCCCTCGCCAGCATCACGGCGGCGGTAGCCACCCTCACGGTCACCACGGTCACCTCCACGGCCACGGCCGCCGAAGGGTCTTCTCTCGCGCTCGCCCTCGCCGAGCATGCCGCGGGGGGGAGCGTGGGAGCGCTGCTGCTTGATGTGGGTGGCGGGGACAATCTCGGCGGGAAGGTGAAGCCACTCGCGGAGGTAGTCGAGACCCTCGGGGGTCAGGGTGTAGTAGTAGTACTGCCACGAGAACTGGGTCTTGACATAGCCGCGGGAGGTGAGCGACTGGCAGGCCTTGACGACGAACAGGTTCTTGGTGTCGATGTCGGGGTGCTTGGGGAGGTTGAAGTCCTTCTTCGCGACGAGGACACCCTCACGGAAGAGGTACTGTAATTTTCGTCGTCAGCAATCGCTATCCTCCCAATTTTTCAGCACGTCTGAAAATTGTAAATCTAACCTCGTGGATCTTCTTGCGGTCGGCCTTGGGGATCAACATCGTGGCGGTTGTCGTGGTCGCTGCTGGTCGATGAGTGGGATGTCTGATCGAGCGCTGTCGAGAACTAACAAAAAGTTTCGAAATTCGTCGTGGGAAGGTAGAATAGCCTAGTGGGCGTCAACCCTACGCGGAACGGACGAAGTGTGGGGCGCTCTAATGGCACACAGAGCCGTCACGTGTAGATAACACCTAGCGATAAGTGAATGTATCCTTCGGGCCCGCCACACTTCCTCAGGGTGCTGCGCCTCACCCAGTAGTTAGGTATCTGCGATAAGCCGGGCCCATCTCATAATTCATCGTTATAACCAAACACTGAACATTTGTCTGCCACTTCGCGTCCTCGTCCCGCCTCGACGTTGTCACTTGCACATCGATTTACTATTGCGTCGGCGCAAATCGAGAAATCAAATTCTTCGGCTACGGACGTAAAGAATTCTCAACTTCAAAATGGCTGTCAAGAACGTCAACGTATTCGTCAGCACCTTTGCTGGGTTGGGCCTACCATCGACACTGGTACTGCCTGTTCCCTCGACGACGACCCTATGCGACTTGCGACAACAGCTTGACGAGCGACTGCCCGCCACAGACAACCGCCTTATCCTGACGACCGTCTCTAACAAAGAACTGTCAACTTCGTCTACCAAACCAGTGTCTGATCTTCTATCATCCATCGATGATGACTTTGTTTCTTTGCGACTTTCAGTACCGCTTTGCGGTGGCAAGGGTGGTTTTGGGTCCCAGCTTCGAGCCGCCGGTGGTCGCATGTCCTCAAAGAAGAAGCGCAACCAGGGAGATGCCAACAACTCAAGCCGAAACCTTGACGGTAGACGTTTGCGGACCGTCACCGAGGCCAAGGCTCTGGCTGAGTACCTAGCCATCAAGCCAGAGATGGAGAAGAAGGAGAAGGAGAAGCGTCGCGAAAGATGGGAGCAAATCGTTGAGCTTGCAGAGAAACGCGAGGACGAGATCAAGAACGGCAGCAAGGGTCGCCTCGACGGAAAGTGGGTTGAGGACAAGGAAGAGTCCAACGAGAGAACCCGCGAAGCGGTACTTGCTGCCATGAAAGCCGGGAAGTACAAGGACAACCTTCTCGGTACTTCGCAAGGATCGACAGGATCAGAGGAGACGGACGAGGAAATGAGTGAGGATGAGGGTGATGAGGAAGGTGGCAGTTCGAAAGAGTCAACACCGCCATCAGAACCGGCCAAGGCGCCTAAGGATAAGCCGAGAACGTTCTTTGGATTCGATGAGGACGATGAGTTTATGAGTTCTGATGAGGATGAAGTCAAGAGCAAGAAGAAGTGAGCTGACGAGTCGCATCGCTTCTCATCGCCTCTTCACTTCTTTGCTTCTTCTACCATGTTCATCACACTGCTTAGCTTGCGCAAGAATTATAACGGCAAAGGGGAGCGCACGGAGTTTCTGGTCAGCGGTGTTAAAGGAACGGTATCAAGGTTCAAGTTTTTGTACAAATGATCAAATGGGCGGACACCACAGATAGTTTTCACGAAATCATATTCGGCGCCCTGGAGCGTCATCAGCGTCATCGCACGACACGTCCTCCAATGCTCTATTTGAGGTCTCGATCCATCTTGAAGTAATACAGTCGCCCGGCTCCTCCGTCTAACCTGCTCACAACAGAGTCCAAATTTGCTTATGCGTCGAGCTTGACGGGGAAGTTGCCGGCCTCTGTTATGTGTTAGTATGCGTGCTTCTGATATACGGACGGAGTGCTGACCTCTCTGCTCGTCCCAGCGGGTGTACCAGCCAGAGGGGCACAGAGAGCGGTAGCCGAGCCAGAACTGCGACTGGTTAGTTTCTTTCAATTTCAATAGAACTCGCGGACGGTCCGGACCTGGCGGCAAGGGGCGAAGTCCTCGCCCTTGGCGTTGATGCACTTGTGGTAGTCGACGTAGTTCTGCCAGCAGTGCTTGGTCTGGTTCATGTTCGGGTAGCGGGCATCGGTGCCTATTCAAGCTCATGTTAGATTCACGTCGCTCATCATTCCCGCTTTCAATTGAGGTGACGCTATCGCGGGTTTCGGTGGTTCGGGCGGAGGGTTCATACCGGCTATAGTGGTCATCAGTTAGCCTCGGAAAAAAGATCAGACCATAATTTGGAGAGGGATATTTCTTCAGCGTACCGGTAACGAACTTGAAGGGCTTGGTAACGAGCTCCTGATCGTCGGACATTTTGGCGGCTTGCGAGTTCAATTGACTGGGAGTCGGATCTGGTGATGGGGTCGAGTGGGCAGCGGCGTGCGATCGGTGTTGATGCTTTGAGAGTAATTGAATGGTCGTTTCTGCACCGAGAATCAGGTGGTGACGGGCGAGAACGGGTGGATGCCTGAAGATGGCCAATCGGGCCTCAGGCATTAGAAAGGTGGGCCAAGCTCCAGTCCAACATCAGACCAGACCGATGGAAGTCCAGTCCAACTTCTAAACACTCATTTTGAGATCCAATCCCGATCAACTACGCTCCCTCCCGCCGTACCGACAGGACCGAAAAATCTCCCCTCTTCAGAAAAAAACAAAATCGCCAAAATGCGTCCTACTCTCGGTCTCCGCGCTTTCCGCCCGACTCTGCGCATGATGTCCCCCGTTCCCGTACGTTGAAATTTCGCCGGTCCGGATGAGCGCAATCGCTAATTCTTACATTTCCCCTTAGGCCGAGGACCAAGTCGGTACGTCGACACCCGCCCCCAGCCATTGAAGGCTCCCGCGATATCAAATACCGATTTCGACGATAAACTGTGGTGTTGCAAAATGGCTAGCAGGAGCTGATATTGTTGATTCCAGGCCACACCGTCTCCCAGAGACTGCGCAAGCTCCGCCAGATCCCCCCCGAACTGATCCCCCTCGGTACGTCATTAGACATTCAAGGTTACGTCAAATTGTTGTTGACGACATACAGGTGTCGTCGTTGGCTTCGCTCTGGCCGCTGCCACCTACTCTGTCGGACGTCACTTCATGACCGACAAGACCATCCGTCTCAAGCGCCAGGGCAAGTCTGCCGCCGACGCCGGCCACGGAGAGGAGCACCACTAAGCGAAGGTTATGAGGACGACGGGAGAACGGTTGACCATGGCGCTCGTGTGTTATTAGGGAGGATCAGTTTGTATAAGTCTACGACAAAGACAGATCAAAAGGCACCAGAGACGCTGCTTTCATTTCCTTTCTCATTGTGCTTCTCCGCCTCGAGTATTAGAGAAAAGCCGTGCCCCCTTTATATCTCAGTAAATCCATGTGAACGCCGTCGCTATGTAATTCGAAACAGGCCTCAGTCGCCTTCGTCCACATCACCTCATCTTCACTCTGGTCGTGGTCCCGCGACATCGAGCCCCTCCAAACCTTGCATGGGGTCATCCCCACGCATCTCAATCTGTGCTGTGCCCTGGTCTGTTGCCAATCCATCCTCCTCTCCAACAGCATGCTCTGCCAGCCATCCCTCCTATGATGGATGTTAGTGCGTTGTTTTGAAGCTCGATGAGACAGCAATATGAGTAAGAAGAGAGACATAGTGGTAGGGTGATAGGATTAAGAGGAAGGAAAGAATGAGATAAGGAGATAAGAAGTAGTGAGAACCGTGAACATATGATGTATATGAGACATATATTCGAGGAATGACTGACCTGTTCCCAGACAGCCTTCTTGCTGCCCAGGCCCTCGTCTGCGCTCTTGGGAACTTTGGCGGCTGACACCTTGATGACTCGCCCGAAGAATTCTGACTGATCCATGTTGTCGATGGCTTCTTTCGCGTCCTCCGTATCTTCATACTCAACATAGGCGAAGCCACGGTGAGGATCTGTTGAGTTTGGCTTGTCGTTCTTTGGCAGCGATACATCGGCGATTTCTCCAAAGGGGATGAATGCATCGTGAACGTTGGCGGCCGTCACTATTGAGGCCAGTCCACCAACGAAGACGGTCGATTTCCAGCGCGCAGCGTCCGTCATCTTGACTCAGATTTTAGTCGTTTGGCGATGGTTGAATTGGTGAACTCGCGCAGCAATACCTCGGGAATGAGCGCGGCTGGGTGACAGTTGAGTGAATCTTTCTGATAGTACCTAAGTGGAGTTTCTGCGCAAGAGCTGTTGTAAGTCTCTATTGGCTGAAGTGGATTTCAGCTACTTGGAGCTGTGCTGTGGTTCTTTGGGTGTCTTAGCTTTCAGTTACGTAAGCCACACCCAACGACAATTGCCCGCTTCTTCCCCTCCACTGATGTAAGGTTCCTTGAGGTATGCCCACGTCCAACATTGACTTTCGAAACCTACCTCATCATCTTCTGCTGGAGACACCTGCTTCTACAGGCTTATTTCTGTAGCTCTCTACTTTCTCATCTTGATTGAGCCTGTATGGAATTTCGGATGAAAGAAAATACATCATGAAGATGGCCGCTTATGTAATGAATTCCATGTCCCGCCGCTGCTCTCCGCCTTCCACTCTCCCTGCTGTGATGACGATGCACGTGATGCCACTTTTCCTGCTTGGGCCAGTTGAGAGGTGCACGGTCCAGTGCTAGGGGGGCATGGATGGCTGCGATTTAGGCCTGGGAGAGCTTGGGATGGGGCTGCAATCTGGCATCATATTTCCCTAAGGGCCAGCGTGCACTGTGACACTACCGCTTCAACGACTAATAGCCACCTCTCCCATAAGGCTTGGTTTTACTTTTCTCAACTCCAGAGAATCTCGGCTTTCCTCGCCAGATCTTCTTGTCACTGTCACGTCAACCAATGCCAATTCGCAGCTAGATTTGTCTTTCTTAGACTGGCCGACTTCCCTTATAGCAACGTCTCCCCCCTCCCTCCGAGTGCAGTCCTGGGGACTGAGTGATTCTCGCAATCATGGTTCGCCTCCGCGAGATCCCAAGGACCGCGGCGTTCGCCTGGTCCCCCGACCCGTCGAAGCCTCTTTTGATCACCGGCACTAGAGCTGGAGCTGTCGATGCCGACTTTTCTGATGAGACCAAGCTGGAGCTGTGGGACCTCAACCTTGACAACCAAGACCAAGGCCTCGAGCTGCAGCCCGTAGCTAGCATCAGCACCGACTCGAGGTAGGCTCTGCTGCCGCACTACCAATCAGACATCTTGGCTCACGACACTTAGATTCTAT